GGACGAGGGGGAATGGCTTCAAACTGGAAGAGGGGACATTGAGATGAGATATGAGGAAGAAATTTGTCACTCTGGGGGTGGTGAGACAGAGGAACAGGTTGCCCCGAGAAGCTGTGGCTGCCCCATCCCTGGAGGTGTTCAAGGCCAGGTTGGACGGGGCTTGGAGCAACCTGGGCTGGGGGGAGGTGGCCCTGCCCAGGGCAGGGGGTGGCACTGGGTGATCTTTCAGGTCCCTTCTAACCCAAACCATTCTGATTCCTTGATGCAAAGATCCAGAGTTGGCCCCTCGTGCCGGCCAAACCCATCCTGGCTCTTGCAGGAGAGCCTCTGAGGGCAGACGGCTTTGCCACCAACTTCCAGCTTCTGCCCAGAGCAGAGCCCCTGGAAAAGAGCCTTCACTCACTGAGTGCACGGGGGCACGGGCTGCCCTGCTCTCCTGCGCTGGGGGATCTTGCTTGGCTTTCCAGTCTGGTTTCCTTTCCACCAGTGGCCCAAACCACCATTCCCAGCTGACCGGGGACACGCAGAGAGCACCGCTAACCCCAGCCCCTGCCCCGGGCCAGGCTCAACACCCCCTACACCTAAGGAGCACCTATACCCTCATGAAGGTACCACGGACCCAAGTCACAGCCGCCTGCAATACCAAATAGGATTTCTCCAAGCATATTCCAAGACACAAGAACAAATCCCGCTTCAAACCACCGCGCCAGGTCCCTTTGGGCTCAGAGGCACTGGTATCACCACCGGTACCACCTCAAAGACCCCTTCGCTCAGGGACACCTGAGCACACGCACCAGCCACCCGCCTGACAAAAGGGATTTCCAAGGGACCAGCAGCCTCCATCCCCTCCTGGCAGAGGAACCAGTACCCCAAAGCTCTGCCCTCCCCTCTGCCACGTGCTCTGCGCAGGAGCATTACACCCAGGGAAAGGAAGAGGAGACATCCAATTGTCTTACTCACACCAGGTTTATTTTTCTCTTCCCTGCATTTCTGATACAAGGGATGTAACCGAGGTCTCCACAGCAGCAAGTCTTCTATAGAAAAAATAGTCATTAATCTCCCGTGGCAAAAACCATCCCTGCCCTACAAAGAACACCCGCGCAGAATACAGCAGTGCAGGCAGGGACCGGGACACATTCGCAGCCTTCCGCTCAGGTAAAAACGTATTAAAGCCTCCCAGTCATACAGAAATCAGCTACTCGAGAAATATTATCCTTGCGCACACAGCCGCCAGGGCGTTTACTACAATCACATTTTATACACTAGCTACAAAATTGGGTGTAGTGTCTCGTAGTGCAATATTTCCAGGTTCGGAGGGACCTCGCTAAGTCTGCGTTACGATCTTTTCTAGGAATTGTACTCCTGAGGAACGAAGGAAAAAAAAAAAAAAAGGGAGCAAAGATTTTATTTCACTGTGTTCAACAACCCACTCCATCGAACAATCGTTGTGCTCTATTTAGACACTGTGTTTCCCCAGAAGAAAAAAAAAAAAGAGATGTGTGATATTTTAAACTACGATTGGTACAAGTCAGCGTCTAAACCTCTCAACTACACAGTCAACAATTGGTTAATGCTGAAATGCTCTATGTAAAAAAAAAAAGAAAAAAAAAAAAAGATTAAAAAAAGAAATTTACTATCACCTTCAATTTCTCTGGACTCACTTCGTCCAGTAGCTTGTATCCTCTGAACGCAGACGTTCCTGTCTTCACCAATACCTCCGATCACTCCTGTTTAACATTACTGAGTTGACATAGAAAAAGGAGCCCGATGTTGCTTTCCAGATGCGTTTCCAGGCATTGGTTCTAAAAAAAGGGTTATTTCTCCGAAAACCAGCTGAAGCAAGACAGAGGAGACAGATGGAGCAAAGGCCATCTCTGTACTCTTGGATGAAGGGTGCCGAGTATTTTCTGGTCTGTTTGAAACGCGCAACGTATCATGGCTAAGAGGGTCTTCCAAAGAGCCCCGGGAGCCTCCTCCGTGCAGAGACCTGCGCTACGCTGAGCACTCCTGAGGACGCGAACCCCTGCGAGACGGACCGAGGCCAGCCAGAGGACGGGGAAGGGCACGGCAGCCTCGCACCGGAGCGGCTGCGGCGAGCTGACCCGTGCGGCAAAGCTCCAAGCCCACAGAGCGCAGCGGGGCCAGAGCACAGGGTGAGGGCCGCCGGTGCCACGGGGAGGTCAGGAGGGGAAGGGAATACCAGGGGGGATAGTAGCAGCCTCTGTGGGAGCTTGTTTTATTAGTGAGCAGCAACAGGGGAAGGGGAGAAGATGACTGGGTTTTAATCCCATCCCCAAGAGGAGAACGTACATGGCTTTCCTTCGCGTCAGAAACCCAGCGAGGACAGAGCAGCGCGGGAGACGGCAGCCTCTCCTCCCGCCCGGCCTGCGCGAGGCGGGACGTGCGGCAGCACGAGGGACCGAGGTTGGGAAGCTGCAGAGATGCTTTACAAGTCAGGCTCTGGACTTCATCAGAAACGGCAGGAAGGGTCCTCACCT